CAGCCAAAATCTTGGGACATAGCCAGGTATCACCATAACTAACTGTTTTGAAGTATAACATTTTTGGAAGTAGAGTCCAAGTAATAAGCTCAACTGCAAAGAGACATCTCCCTCTATTGTCAACAATCTCTTCCGGTATCAAAAAATCTTGCACTTAATGCTGTATCAAGATCCCAGGCCAGTATTTACTGTCACCTTGAATGTCCCACAGACACAGTACAAACTCACTCAAGGAGCACCAGCTGTGCTAGAGTTGCTGCCTACCTTCTTTCTTGACCCTTCAGGGAAAGGAAGTGGCCTCAAAGAAGTCTCAGGTCTGACTACTTAAAGATGTACTACAGTTTACAGAAAAATGTTTGCTTTTCTGGAGGATGCACATGTGGGAGATATTTAGATCAGGCCAGGTCCCTTGGAGCTTATCCAGGAACTGTTATTACGACACAGATCAGTCCTGTGATGAACTATAAACTGCAGGCTTTCTTCCACCTGGAACTATGATCCAGAACAATGCCGTGCTTATGCAGCTGTAGCGCTAAGAGCTAGTGAGGGAAGCTTCCTTGTTCTTCTACACTGCATGCTTTTTTCTTCTGTAAGAAGGGAACATCAAGGCTAATCAGCAGCACTTAGGTATTACTTTAATGGAGTTTAGAATGCTTGGGAAAGCATCCTAATGCACCAGGAAGGGAAAAGCAGACATGCATAATGCATTTAACAAATTCCAAAAGATGGTATGACCTGTTTCCCTTATAAGGCATCAATCACATTAATATCACTTTTCAGGTAGAGAGATTTAACTCTCTACTGAGATAACAGATCTAATGCTACAGATGTCCCAGTGAGCTTCACAGAAAGTTGATGTGATGTTGACAGTGCAAATAGCAGGTGACAGGACACTGGAGCTAAGGAAGGCAGATTGCCCAAAGTTGAGAGCCAACAGCATCCTCATCCTGTTGAGAAGTGATCAAGATAAATACATCACTTATGAGGTGCAGATGCCGAGGTGTGTGGCACAGCCAGAGACTTGCAGGAAATGTGGCCAGATGACACTAGTGTAAGGATGGATCAAAGCCTCATTCCCTCTACTGCTCATAAGCCCAATCCACAGAGCTACTTAGCCTAACACTGCCTGTCCTTGCAACTTACGGTTATCAAACAACTAAGTTAGCAATACCACAACTAGTGCAATTCTTGTGACAGACACACTCAACTCCCCACCCCTTAACCAAACCAGCAGCAGATTGGCACAGGCTCCAAGGGAGGTAAGGGCCTGAGCTGTAGCCAGGCCAAGAACTACTTGAGGAAACCCATAAAGGAGCAGAGCAACAAGGAGCCTTTCCCACTGTGTGCAATTTGACTATGAGCAAAGTAGTTGCACTTTATCCCATAAAAGCCATGTTTTGAGCTTTCTCTCCCTGCTAGGCAGCCTGGCTGCATGGCGCTGATCTTCCCTCGAGCTTGACACCTCTCAAGTTTGCTCCTCAAGGCAGGGAGATCTTTTACCAATGACAGTTTGTTGGATGAGCCCAATTTGAGTTCTCCCTGGATGGCAGCTCTCCCCTTGAGCAGTGTTTAGAGATATTAGTTGTTTAACTTAAATAAGTATGCTTTAAACAGAATGAATCACTTAGAGTTATAATGTTGTGTGATTTAGAATGCTGTTTCCTTAGCTTTACTTACCCAGCATGAGCAGCTAGACTTGCTGAAACCTTAGGCTGCAAGCTATACATTTTCATTTAGACTACTGAATGTGTTCCTACCTAGTCAAAAAAGTGGTCTCCAGAGCCAGTGTAAATCAGGAGATAAGGAGGCTTCAAGGCTACAGCCATCAACAGCAGCTGTTACTTGACAAGATAATGCCTGTCTGAAGGCAGTGAAGGAATCCAATAAGGTGTCAGAAGATCAGACCAGAATCACCACTGGACCAAAGGATACATGGAAGGTGCATGAAGAGAGTGCATGAGGGGCAGGTGAATACTTTGTAAGAGTATAATTGCCCAGAGATTTCTTTGTTTGGGTCAGCCCCTCTCCAGGGGCACCAGCTCAAGCTGACCCTGCTACTGTACCACTCTATCAAAGTATTTATTTTTACAAAACTCTGATGCCTGTCTTTTCAGAAAACCTTGAACTTCAGAGTGAACCAACACTGGACACCCAGATGGAAGGTAAGTGAATTGGGAATAAGCATGATGAAACTTTGACACTTTAGCTAAGTGATAAAGAACTGGGTGTTGAACATATAATCATTTAGCCATAAACACATACAATCCTTTAGACATAAACCACTGGTTTTCCTTACCCTTTGTATCTCTTAGACCTAAACCCTTGACCAAGTCTGGATTCAGCCCCACTTAGGCTCCATCAGGAGTTTAGGGGGTCCATTCTGAACCTCATGACTCAGCAGGAGGGTCTCCCATGCTTACCTTTTTGCTCCCTCCAATCTCTGTGTAAGTCATATCTAAATAGATTTTAGCTCAATTTTCCTTTGTATGTTCCCTTCATGTAGTAAGAGTGAACCTTGTCATCAAACACTGTTAAGTTGCTTTAAGTGATCTTAAATCAATATCCGCAACAAATTGGCAAGATCATAACACACTTATCTGTGACAATTCCTCTTCCTTATTTAGGTCTGACTTAAGCACTGCTGCTCCAGAACAAAATTCAGGTTGTTGAGCATAGCTCTGAAGTAACTGCATACCAGGCTGCCTCCACCTGCAGAGGCAAGGAAGAGAAAGACAGCAGGAGCGCCAGGCAAGCACAGCTTGGACACTCCCCTGGGCCTTGTGCCTTTTATTGCCATAGGGGCTCCCAGCAGGCTGCAGAGGTTGTTTTCAACCCAGAGGGGTGTCAGCTCCTGCTGGGAAGAAGTCTGCAGAAATAGTACAGCATTGGCAATGATAACATTAGTAGGAACCTGCAAAAAGAGGGGCGAGAATCTCTTATAAATTGTCCCAAGAAGAACGGAGCTTCAGCCTTGACTGTAGTCTCCAACACCAGAACGGAACTTTTCACCCTCCCTTCTACATGTTCTGTATTTATCCATATCCTCCTGTCAGACAACATCTGTTTTGGAATAAATCCCTATAAGCCTGCCACTAACTAATAAGCAGGAGCAGTTTAGTGCCCTGCAGTATTGAGGTATTAGGAATAGAAACTGAACTACATTTAATAACTGATTTAAAAAGTCTGTGCCTACTTCTTTGAAGAACTGAGTTGATCTCAACTGGCAGACAGGACAGAACTTGCTACTTGGCTTCTGTACACAGCCTAAAGCTGAAAAAAGTCACCTCTAATGCAAGGTGGTGCTCAGCTAAGTCTGATCTCAGTCCTGTTGCGTGTGCACAGACATTTATCACAGATGATGGTCTTTGAAGGCTCTACAGAAAAGCTGCAAACAGAAATGGCAAGTGATGGGAAGATAATACACTTTGTAAAAGTCCTGTAGGTGAAATATTGCCTAAGATTAATAGATATCTGTGTATTTGAGGACAGTTGAGAAAAAGCCCTCTACTATGAAAAGAGGAGATTCACAATGCCAGGGCCTGAAGTGAATTATTACGCTGCTTTAACACAAAGCAGCAATTGAGATCTGAACCTGAATAGTTGCTTAGCACTTCCCAGCTCTTGCTGATAAACAACAGGAGCTGAATAACTTTCAAGCACATCCCAGCACTCCGTGGACATTTGATACTGTCCCCTTCGTCCATAATCTGCTGGTGAGCTTTGTTCACTAGCTTCAGCTAAATTGTCAATTAAGAGAAAGCCTTCATGCAGTCTCATACACCTCTGCAAGAGTAATTTGAGTCATGCTTTGCTGTGTAGGTTGTTAACAGTCAGTGAGGAACAGTCCCCTGTTAAGGCAGCAGGAAGGCACGTCCCTTCAGCAGGGTTGCAAAGTGCAGTGGGAAAGGATAAGGATTATGTACCCTCTCACAGGACCTTTGGGGTCCTCGGACTATACCTTAACAGCCACCTTCTGGACATGGGCTTACCCTTGCTACGCAGAGGGCTGCATCTCCCCAGAAGAAAAAAGTATTTGGTGGTAGTTTTAGATTTGCACACCCTTCAAAAAGTCAAACACTAATGCAAGGAGGAAATACTGAAGGAAAACTGATGATATTGGTCTTCTGCAAGACAGAAGACAGTGCTGCTAGTTGAGAAGCACTACCCATAAAATGAGAATTGTATCAAAACTGCCTTGGTGGCACTCAAGCTGCACACACTGCAGCATCACAGCTCTGAGAAGAGTCAAACAATGCTTCTGGAGTATACTAGTCTGCCACCCCAACACGGCTCATAAATTTATGGATTTATCTAATCTGGGACATTCAAGATCAAAATCCACTTTTAAATGCACATAATGCCAAGTGGAGCACAAAGTAGATGTGATCATCTTTTGTAACTACAGTAACTGCCACAGGAATAAAGTCTACCTGAAGGTTTCAGACTGCTTCCCCAAAGGAATCACTACCAAACTTTCCTCTCTGCAAAGGGAAAGAAGATGGTAACACACAGATTTGATATCAGAATCCAAGCATTACTACCCACTAGATACTTCTGCCACACTCTAATTAGTCCAAAACATACTTGGGAAGATTAAGATATAAATGGGTCAATATGGACTAGCAAATAGAAGTAAATTAGAAAAATTTGCTATTTTCACATCACCTTCTCTACAGAGGGGCACAACGCAAAAGCAGGCAGGTTTAGAACACATTTAGTTAGCAAGTCACTGTGTCTTATCTCAATAGGACTGAATAATTTGTCCACACCTTAGGAAACTCGCGTTCTTACTCTCAGAAATTAATACAGTGATATAGTCACATGAGTAAGTATACAGAAATCTAACAGAATAGAGACTGGCTCAAAACACTGCTCCCCTCAGTAACCATACCAATGAATAAGATAAAGAAATCTGTTTGACAGAGGGATTTGGTTCTCTCTTTTTGGTAATATTTGTTAACTTAAACAGTTACACTGGAGTCAAATAATCAGGCTCAAGATAGTCACAAAAAATAGAGGATGTATTTTTCTTCAAAGATCAAAACCATAGCTAACATAAGACATTCATATCAGAGAAGTTCAGTGTCCAGAAAAAACTTTTCTGCCATATAAAAAAAGATACTACAATTGCTTTACTGCTCAAGAATTTCCTTGCTCAATCTGCTTAATTCTTCTCTTGCGGAAGTTTTATCAGTAACTTGCTTTTAACTAGGAAGTACAAACAATTTTTCTTCACCACCCTCATCCTATCTAAAGCTCTTCTTTAGTTCTGGAGAGTTTTGTTGCATGCTCCTCTATAAATTTGCTCAAATGGTCTAAATCTCTGTCCCCACCTTCAAATTTAATAGGGTTGTTCTTCTTATCCCTTAGAGCAAAGTAGATAGTGGGGAATCCCTCCACTTTGTAGTGGTCATTTGTCACATCGTTGGCAGTAGCATCCATCTTGGCTATGACTAGATTTTTCTCATTCTTGTATTTTTTGGCTAGCTCAGTATACACCGGTTCTAGTTTCTTGCAGTGTCCACACCATGGGGCATAGAACTCTATGAGAACATCATTCTTTGGATCCATTACTATGGTATCAAAAGTTTTACCCACTACCACTTTCACAGGCCCTTTGTTATTTTTTGGCACTGGCTGGGACTTCACAATAGGCTTCAGTTTTCCTAGAAAAAAGCAAAACACACCATTGTTACAATAGAGTAAGAGCAATCCTTATGATCTCCCCCAAGAAGAAAGGGCAGAAGTACATCCTCCTGCCAGGGAAAAACATTGCACCAGTAAATGACCTTCCCCCTGCACGAAACAGAGGCTAGCTTGCTGGTGACGTTTTAGTACAATAACCTTGTGAAATACAGGCAGCAATTTGTTTCACAATTCCCTAGAACCTTTCCTCCCTCTTTTTATGGCTGTCCATCCACAATGTAGTAGACAGATTTATTATACTAGTCCCAAATATGGATGATCAGGTCACACTTCAAAGCTGCAAGAATGTTTTAGGTTTGCCGAACATGTTCAGTGTTAGAATATAGCTAGATGCCACAGCGTAATCCAAGCAAAGTTAATGAAATTAAGGAAAAAAGGCAGGAAACATCTAAAAGCTTTAAGCCACAGAGCATTGTGAGGTTGCACATCTAACTTTATTGTGGACATTGCCTTGGCAAAAACTCTTGGAAAACAAAGGGGAAAGAAAGCAAATGGCTTAGAGAATCCTATTTTAGAAACTATACCTTTTTTGAATGCCAGCACAAATTGCCTGAGTACATCAGAGTCAAACTCTTCTGGCTCCATGGCATACTTGCCACCTTCATCCAGAATGGCAACATTGACATCCTCTCCACTCTCAAGCAGGCCCAAATCTTTTATTTCAGAAGAATAGTCGTCTTCATCAGAAACAGCAAATACATATTCAGGGAAGTCTTTGGCCACTTCCAGGACTTTGCCTCTCCAGTACTGTGTAGCTGAAAAACCAGAACACAACACCATTAGCAATTTCTAGTTATTTACTGTTTGCTTCCTCCCAAAGTGGAGAAAAGGTGATCTTAGCTAACTTACCAACACGATAGTCGAAACTAAAGTCTACAGAATAATAGACAACCACTAGAGGACGCTTAGCATATCTTTTAGCATCATTGGAAGGCTTGCGATGACCAACTAGAGGCAAAGTGTATTTTAGCACGTGCTCTTTAATCTCTGATCCATCTGTAGAGTCATGCTTAAAAAGATTGGGGAAAAAAGTTCAGAAAAATGGATTTAAGTGGCATTTCTGTTACACACTACTGAGAACTAATTCTGAAGCATGCATGAATGAGAAGCAATGTTATAAACAATACTGTCACCATATTCTTCAAATCCTTGAGCACTAAAGATAATTTACTATTCTACCCTTAAATAATGTAATGGTAAATTATTATTTGAACATGTAACCTCTGAGTTAATTTCATAAATCTTTCTTGAACAAAACAATACAATTGCCTCAAATATTTGGTGGAGTACTTCCAAAAGAAAGATGTCAACTGTTCATATATATGAAGAAAAAGAACCTTCAATCTGTGTACAAACTGTCTAGCTTTGGACCAGCTACTCACTTTAAGATCCAAAACATGCATCTTGGCCTCATGCTTTGACTGAAATTTTTCTGGCTGCATGACAACCAGTTTTCCTGGAGATACTTTCAGTAGATTTGCTATGTTGTTACTGAAGGTGTGGTGGAACTTGTAATCTTCTCTTAAACCGTTAGCTGAAAAATTAAGGTCAAGGAAAAGGAAAAGTCATCAAGTGAACTGACAGCCTCCGACTGAAATTTTGAGACTGTACTGCAAGAAAACTCTCTTCCCATTCTCAGTGGGACACAGAGCAACCCAGATTCTTGGAGAACAGCTCTCATCCAGGAGTGAGAATCACGTGAAAATACATATAGTTCGAGTAGCACTAGCTGAATGCTGTTCTACAACCCATCTACTTGAGTTATTCTACATATTCAAAAGCCTTGAACAGCTTCCAACATATATACAGTGAAACAGGTATTTGTTTACCAATCTCCTACCTGTTGGCTTCCCCCCAGCTAACAAAGAGCTGGAAAGCAACTCACCAGGTCACCTAGTCAACCTACTTGCTTTGGGGCAGCCTGGGAAAGTTCTGTATCTTGCCATGCTGGAGCAACCAAATCAGCTCCTAATCCAACTATAAATGACAGCAGCCCCAGAAACAGGCACAGCCCGGAGGAAAAAAAATGCCCAAACTGCTCTCAAGGCTCTGGCAGAAACCAAGAGTGGCTGTGAGTGGTTCAGTAATGCGAGACACAGGGACTGATTAAAGGGATTAAGCACTTGAAGTGTTTAGCCTCTTCTGGGTGGTAGCAAATATTCTTAACAGGACTGTCAATGTGTCATGTCAAAGGGGTTTTCTTTAGAATAACCATTGCCAGGGATGGTGTAGCTTAACTGATCCAGAGGTGGATGATGATTCTTTCTCCAGGCCAACCCATTCCAAACAAGTTTGGCAGAGCCCAGCCTTTGGAACTGTCAGATATGAAGTAAGCAATAGCAGACAACAAAGCAAGCAAGGCTCTAAGCCAAGAAGCCACAATTTGTTCCTAGGCTAGGAATTTTTCCTCCTCTCTAGTTCGCATGTTTTTAGGGACACAGTACCAAGAGGAGGTATCTCCTGTGACTGGCTGATACTTTAGTTATAGCCTCAAAACCTGGCGTGAGCTTTTTCCTTAAGTACAGGTAAAAAAGTACCCTTTAATTTCCTTCCTCTTATTCTTCTCCAGCCTCCCCCACTATACTAAGAGCAGAAATAAAGGATCTCTCCATGCCCAAAGTCCCAGGCAGAAATCTCACTAAAACATACACATCATTAATATTTTAAAACATTCTTTACCTGCTTCCTGATAGAGCTGATAGGCTTTGTCATTCTCTCCACTAAAGACACCAATGATGATGGCATCATCCCCATCCTTCAGAAATTCCTGTACCTGCTTGGTACTCTGAATCTGTTTGGATGGAGGACCAGCCTGTTCAATCATGTAGTCAACAATACCTGTTAGACAAACATGCCCCCAAAGTTGTTTAGAATATTTATTCAACGGAAAGGTTCAGGCATTCTCTCTATTACGTTGTTTAATACCACATTTCCCATGGACACCTTTCTTTCTGTGCAGCCTTCCCACCCACAATAACTAAAAGACCTAATAAGCAAGACTTCAGTCCAAGTTTTTAAATCTGAAGTTCTGGATATTCTCTTCAGGTTGGCTTCAGAAGAGGTGACCAAGCACAAGTTCCATGAATATAAGCTGATCTTTCAAGTAACCCTCCTTTCTGAAATTCCAGACCCTTTACTGTCTCCTAACCCTGATATGAGCCAAAATTCTACACAGATAGTCTTAAGTCTTCCCTCTTATTAGAACTCAATATTAAGCACTTTGCCAGCCCTTATGGTGCATTCCAGTGCAATTAAAGGCTGCCCATTTACTCATACTGCCACTGCTTCACCATGCATATTTAACTTACTTTATATTAACAGGAGCTTATAGTACCACTGTAAGATGTTATAAAGATATGGGGCAAATTTATACTGCTGGCCTATGTAGGGATGAGAGTACAGTTTTTCAGGTTTCCCTAACTACCATTGCTATGACATTAACAAGTCTGGAAGTCCTACAGATACACTGGAACATTTGTGGTGAAACCCTCAGAAAATAAGAAAAAGCAGAAGTTGCAATACCGTATTTTTCCCGTGGACCACTGTAGTTGTAAGGTTTGCCTTTACGGAAGATTTTCAGAGTTGGGTAGCCAGTAACATCAAACTTCTTTGCAAGCTCAGTTTCAGCTGTGGCATCGACTTTAGCCAGAAGAATAGGAGGTGTGTGCTTGCTGAGCTCCTGGGCAGCCTTCTCGTATTCTGGAGCAAGCCTTTTGCAGTGTCCACACCTAGGGAAGGAGAGTAGAGGGCAGTTTTCACAAGCCACAAGTCCTCCTAGGTACCTTCTACTTCTGAAGTTGAAGAGTTAAGTCTTCCAGAATGGAGAAGGTAGAAATGGGGTTATTCTATCTATAGAGAACACTTCAGTCTGGGAAGACTTGTCTCTCCAACCTGAAGCCCAGCATTACTATAGGTAATTTCATTTTTAGAGGCCATTTTTAAATTAAGGACCAACTCCCTTTGTTTTTCAGTATCTCTCAACATGTTCCCAAACCAGTATATATGGAGAATCTTCTGTGAAGTTTTGGTGACCATCCCTTGCTGAGACACAGATCCAGTCCAGTCTCCAAGTGACTGTGTGATCCTATGTCCACATTAGAACTAAGGTACACCAGAACTGCACACACCTGCACAAGGCAAGCCTCTTTAGAAGAGGCATAACAACAGAAAACAGGCTCACCAAGCGTGTTCAGGCCAGCTGTGGTAGGAAAGCACAGGTGACTACCTTCTTGCTTACCATGGAGCATAGAACTCCACCAGAATTATGTCAGCACCATTCACGACATCATAAAAATTATCCTGGGTCAATACTAGGGTTGCTTCTGGTGGAGGGGTCCAACTGGGGTCAGAAACCTCCTTGACTTTGGCCACAATTTCTGAAACACAGTTCAATAGCTCAATTAGCAAGCTTGCATTATTATATTGGTAGCATATTGAATGCAAGAGCTGATATCAAGAATTTAAAATCAGAGCAACAAGCATGGTCTTGGACCAAACATAGCCAAGCTTACATGAGAATACTTTCTTAATCAAGCTCCTTTATGCTTTACTTCATTGTTGGTATTGCCAAGAAAATCTTGAATATTCTCTTCACCCCACAGAGTATCTTATTTATGCAGAGCACAGATACGTACTTTGCAGCACCTTAGCACATTAATTCCCTCTCAAAACAGACAGAAAAGGTAGTCTTTCCCCTCTGACTGAAGTTGGACACATTCATGAAGCAAGAAACAGGTGGTTTTATATACAGTCAATATACAGACCAGTTGTTTCTTATTAGCTGATCCTTCAGCAAGCATGAGACTACCTCCTATTCCAGTTAAGTCATATTTCTACAAAACTTCTATCAATAACAGCACACTACCCGCTACCTGCAAAATTGTCCTCTAACATGCAGCCAATTGAGAAGACAGGCAAAATTCCAGCCGTCATAATATTATTCTGCTTAAGCGACTTGAGATCAAAGTCCTTCAAAACAGTCACATTAAGAAGTAAGAACATATACTTCCTTGCTTTGTTACAGAGAATTGCAGAGGACTGGTGCTTACCATCTTCTGTCCGAGAACCATCATAGTCAACAGGTTGGCCTTTTTTCAGGATTTTGATCGTTGGGTAGCCACTGACATCAAAACGACTTGCTAGTGAAGTGGCTGCAGTAGCATCTACTTTGGCAACTGGAATAGGAGGGTCATTTTCCTTCAGAGTTTTGGCTATCTTTTCATATTCAGGAGCAAACTGTTTGCAATGCCCACACCTGTTGGAGGAAGACACAAGCAGATACACAAGTGCATGACAGACCCACAGGGGAATCTTGCTACTCTGCACTTCCAGGATGCCTTCTGATAGATGTTCACAACCTCAGTGTTAGAATGTTTACCTTGCTATGTTTTCAGATGATGGAAAAAGACAGAGTAACTAATGTGCTGTATGTTCAAATCCCAACCTCTTTGGGTTTTCTTTTTTCTTTTTCCCCCTTCATTCAATAGGCAACAGATTTCCCTATGTTTTCTAAAGCCACCATTAAAAAAAATCTAACAATTGCTTTTACAACAAAATTGCAAACCTTGTAACATGCTTCTCCTCCCTCCCTGCCCTCCAAATATAGTCTCACTCAGACTTCAGCTTCCCCCTAACCTAGATGCATCTTCTCTACCCAGTACTCTAAATTGAACTAAAGAGAAAAATGAACCAGTAGTTCAGTCAGCCTAATGAAATCTCACACCCACCATGGTATTGCAGCACCTGCTCTCCCTCTGGACACACCAGAGCTCTTTGGGAAGATCAGAGGCTCCTGCTGCAAAAGCTGACATGACATAAAATAGCAGCATAAGAAAAGCTGAATATAGCTTGACAAGCTGAAGATGAAACCAGGAAAATTAAGAAAAAAGGAGGAAAACTAGTGTGCAGCAGATAGCCTGTACCCCTTAGCCTCTCAACTGGCAGGAGGGTGAATAGAAAAAAAAGAACTGTTTAATCTGTGATGACCGTGCATCCTTCTGTTTGGCTAAATCCAGCTTCACGTTCAGTTTTCATGCAGGCAAACTACAGCTGCAGAAGTAGTACCTACAGCCAAGCAGGGATGGAATTCTCTGTAGTAAGAGTGGCATTAGTCAAAATGCAACTCTACCTCAAGCAGGATCATATTCTCACCTCTATTCAAAGACTAGAAAAGGACAAATGAGTAAGTCCTCTTTATATCACTAAGCCACAAGGAAAAAGGGTTCTGGCTGCAACAATAACTCAGCAACATGACTGCAAATATATCCTGCTCATTTTCCTCCACTAATGATCCCTATTATTTTTGTCTGTAAGAATGTAAGAAAAGATACATTCTGGCCTAAACTCTTTGTCTTGGTTATATGCAGGTAAATCCACTGCAGCTCCTTGAGCACACTAGAGTTACTGTGTACCCTGGTACACCAGCAAAATTATCATCATTAGGTAGATGTATGAGGCACAGTTTAAACTGATAATGTGAATGACCTATGTCCTTACTCACACCACACCCTTCTGGCAAGGACAGAGATTTGAGCTTGAGAAGGAAAACCTTCTAGCAATTCCCCTACTAGGGAAGTCTCCTCCATCTAGATGAGGAAGTGCACCAGTTCTCAGTGTGCCAGCACAAGGACATGATAGCAGGCCGCAAGACTGCACTGCATGACTTCTCTGGGGCTCCCTGGGACCGTTTCCATTCCCTGACAGGAGCAGAGCAGGGCTGTGCTCCTTTTGGCATGGGATCCCTCAGTATGACCCACATATGTGAGGGAAGAGCAGTCTGTTGTTTGTCGCATGGTACAGGGGGCAGGGAAAGCAGTACCTCCACATCGCCAGAACCATCTCCTACCCTGGACTATGGCAGAGTCCAGTGCTTCTGCAGGCAAGCTGTTACTATGAACTCTTTAAAACTGCAACCCAAGCCCACTTTTTAGGAGTGTGTCCTGTCTGAGAAGCCCCTAACAACTACCCCATCCAGCACCTAAGGAGGTACTGTGGGCTGTGAACCCACCATGGTGCATAGAACTCCAGCAGCACAGTGTCCTTGTCTGCAGTAAAGGTGTCAAAATTTGCGTCATTCAAGATTAATACGCCATTTTCTTCTTTAACTTCAGAATCATCATCATCATCATCATCATCATCATCATCACTGTCATCATCAGCTTCTTTTGTAACAGATTCTAGAAAAGTAAAAGCGCAATAGTGATTAGACTTTAACATTAGAGTTTAACATTAAAATAACACTTCCAGGTTAAAGATGTATTAAATATACCCTGCAGTTAAAACCGAGAAGTATCAACACGCATTAGTTCCTGCTCCATATGCGATGACAGGTACTTCAGCTTGCAAAGAGCTTGGACTCAGATGTTTGCCCATTTCATTTTTGTCTACACCACACCAGCTAACAATATCAATATTTCAGTAAAGTGTCAACATATATTTTGCACTTCAGGGCAAACTAACAAAATGGATACAACAAAAATTAATTCATACAGACCCTATGTGACAGTCACTATCAAGGTACCTTAGGTGTCTTTTTGAAATATGGTCAGCGAGACATGTTTTGTTGGGCAATAAGGGCTCACAAACGATACCTGAATTAAAACAGAAGCCCTCCATCATGCAGCTAAACAGCTGCCCTTCAAGCACAGCAACTTGTGGTTGGAAATATTAGGTGTCTCATACCAAAAAAGCAGATGTTATCTGTCCACAATGCTTCCCTTGTACCCTTCCTCACTACACCTGTAACACCTCAACAGCTATGCTCTGCCTGTCTCAAGATCTAATAAACAGACAGGTTTGCTATAATCTCAAAAGCTATCATTTTGCTACTACCAAGGTGGTTCAGAGGCAGCACTTCAAAACTGTGCTTCTAACTGCTCAGTCCCACCCCTGCCACCTCAATATAGCTTGCTCTCAGTTACAGTGACTTTTCAGGCCTGCAGTTCACTGAAGAGGCTTGCCACTCACAGGAGCATCACACTGCTCTGGATCAGCCCCAGGCTACAGACTGAGTATAAAATCAAATAAGTGACTGTCACAGGAGTCTCATGTAAACCCACTCTTATGTACTTGGAGATGCAAGGTACTCTTAAAATAAATGGAGCAAAAGCTTCTTTCAAAGAACTTTTGGGGAGACTTGTGATTTAAGGAGGCCAAAACTGCCGGTCTGGAACAGGCCTTTCAAGGAGATATCAGAATTGCCGAATTTCCAAAGCAAAGTTAGCACATGAAACCTGAAGCCAGGGCATTTCAACTGGTTCAATCTTTGTTGGGTTCCTTTAACCTTTTTTTTTTTAGACTGCTATCATTCGAGGCAAGGACACTTTAAAGAATTTAAAGACCTTAAAGGAATTTCAGTCACAGAACAAGCAATGAAAATACCTCATCCCAAACGAAAACTGTACAATGAAACGAAGACCCTTTCAACCATTGGGAGTCCTAGGATTAGCAGAAAACCCCCCCCCCCAAAAAAAAAAGGAAGAAAAATATTAAGGTTTCTTGTTCAAAACTTATCTGTTTAATTGTTTTTTGACTAAGCTGGCAGCAGGATAGCAAATCATGTACATGTACGTTACTTATTCAGGACAAGAATTCTGAAAATACTCTGATTTTACCAGGAATTTGAAAGTTAATAATGATAAATCTGTAGTATCCAGGTATGAAAAAGTGGAAAACCCAAACCCCACTATTCTCAGACCAACAGCAGACCATAGGAACAAGCTAACTATGGACAAAATAAGCCTATATGCTCCCAGAAAACAGTACGTGCTCCTGGAAAAAAATGCATTAATTTTAATTAAACCCAGCTTTATACAGCACCAAAATATTAAAGCTATGTGGGGAAAGATCACAGGAGATCATTTATCACACAACAGTAGTCACCTGGATTAAGTTTCTTTAACAACTACTACTGTTTCATCTGATCTAGGAAGCAGCTAAAAGCACTATTTGCAAGTGGACAATGCCTCCTGTGTTGCTGCCTGTGAGCGCTTGCAGTGAAAGGGCTGAACTGCCAAACATCCTTGAAGTGAATCTACAGCAGTAGATTCACGTACCTGTAGGACTGTCCTCATGAAAAAAGCTAGTTTTCAGGGGGTTTCATCAGTCAAAACTTCTGTTTACATGCGTGCCCAGCAGTTTTGAGTGCTATGTTTCATCACAGGCTGTTCATGGCTGGTCTGTGACTGAATTCCCAGCGTATTGCACAACGCTCACTGCTTTTCCAAGCATATCACTTCAGACTTTTTCCTGACATGAAAGAATTTGAGCAAAACTAGCTGGCCATTTTGGCTCATGCACTTTTGACCACAAGGTTGCGACTGTCATTCCTGCTTACTATGCTAACTACATGCCCCCACCTGAGACAAAGACCACCGCAGCTACTGGGGCACAGGCTCATGGTTTAGAAAGCTGAGAACAAAGCACCACCCACAAAATCATCCTGCACAAGTGGAAAATGTTATCACTATGTCAAACATCCACCACTGAAATAATTTTTTATCTTTCCCTGCAAGGGTCTGTATGGCCTGCCAACATAAAACTTCCTTGACAGGGATATAGGGGCAGGGGAATTACACACAGTCACTTCCTCCTCCTCGGAGATGGAGGCACAACAGTACCACCTAACAGCAGGACTCCAGATATTCCCAACTGGCTTAAGGAGGGCACGCATTTCAAAAAAAAAAAAAAAAAAAAAAGGTTAATCAGACCTATAAATTAGTCCTTAAGAGTGCAAACTCACCCCCTGCAGTCTCCAGCTTCACCTATACCTATGGTTATCACAGCTACCTCTAACACACGCTTTGGTGTTGGGACTGAAAGATCTGTTTCAAGGACCTGACCAATTATGGGAGAAGTAAGCAAGACTTTTTTCACGAAGAGCAAGAAACTTTCCTCTGCATTAAAGGTTTACAATTTGAAGAGAACAGATTCAGGTGTCATGGTGAGACTCATTCTGTAATGGCAGAAATAGCTAATAAATATTTTGCATAAGACAGCTCATGAAAATAGAATAGCTGCACCCAAACTGAAGTGTCTTTGTTTCTTAAAGCTATTTGCAGAACAGGTGAACAAACCAACAAGGGACAGCTGTGGCTAAAATCTGCCCTCCGGTAAAATATGGACCACTCCCTTTTATTTCAACAAAGCATTTCCACAAATTTCAACGTATTATTCCACAAGACAAAAAAAAAAAAAAAACAAACAAAAATAAACAAACAAAAAAAAAAACAACCAAACAAAACAAACAAAAAACCCCAACATGATGAAGATAGCACTCATTTTAAGATTTCAGGTACACGTTGCTGGCCGGCAGGCTTTCTTCAGGATGACAGCTACTCTAAGTGAAACTAATTCTTACAATAACTTCACTGAACTTTTAGCATTAATCGTAAGTCTGGCTTAGTAACTGCTTCTTAAGTAGGGTGAATCCCATATGAAAAAGTTGCATCCAGGCACCAGTGACTTCAGGATTCTCCCTGAAAGCTTCCCTCTGAGAAGACTGCAGTGTCCATTCCCCAAACAGATGAGCTCAGTTTTCAGAAACCAAGAAGTCAAGACTGACAATCTGTTGCCAGGGCATTTAAAAGATTTTTTTATGAAAGCAGTCTTCCCAAATGCTTCCTGTAGCAGGTAGATCCTCTACATGATCCCTCCTTTTCCTTCACCAGGATGCAAAGGGTGTAACAGTCATGATCTAAATTAATCTTGCTGTGAGCATATTTGCCTCAGTGCCCTAGCCAATCTTCACTTCCAAAGCCATACAGTGCAACAAGCCTGGTTTAATCTGATTTTTTCATCTACTGAACAACCAATTCACAAAAAGTTATTTGCTTGTTGTAAAGTATACTTATTCCACTTCATACAGGTCTGCATTTCAAGGGCAAAAACGGAAATCCCAAACTACATGCATTTTTAAAGCAAAGGCTTAGTAAAGCCTAGCTCATGATTTATATACAACTTTGAGATACACAGTAGAAATAGGAATAGTATTCAAGTTGCGCAATGGATCAGTGTTCAGCTTGCACACAGGAAGAAATACTTTCGTTGCTGCACATCTTTGATCCCAAGAACTGATATAATGAGAAGAACAGCACACATGGGAAATACAGATGAGAGTCTGGCCTGCGAGAAGCTGAGCTAGTGCTGTCAGAGCCAGGCTCCGCTCTAACATCACAGGTTCTCCATCATCTGAAGGTAGGAGGGGAAATCAGTACTAGGCTCTGGCACATGCTACAAAGCCACAGGTGTTCTAGCAAAAAGCAGAGAAACAGACATAATACATGTATTTCAGCTTAGAATTAAAAGAAAAGCCTCACAGGAAAATTCTGCCTCTCCTTACTGCAGATGCTACAGCCTATTAAAAAAACCCACCAAATCTCCTCATCTTTATCCTACAGATCATACAGTTGGTCACACAGATAAGGTACCTGACATGAATGCATTTCAACTTTCAGCGCCTGTTTGCTGAGTAAGAATTTCCACGACAGGAGTTCAGGAGGTCATCCATAACCTGCTCACCCTGAACAGGCTCTAATACTTAACATTTGGTAGTGTTAATGTGGGAAACATGAAAGATGTGGGATTTCTCAAAATCCACGTGAAAGATGCTTAAAACCAAGCACCTTCAACCTTCTACATACAGGCACTAAATTTATTAAGTCAGAGCTGTTTTGGAAAGAAAAAGGCAGAAATCAGTGAAATTCAAAGACAATGGGAAGAAACACCAGGAAACGAGCAACACGCGGCCTTATTTCTGGGAAAAAATTATCAGTTTGGAACAGAGGGAATGCACGAATCTCCTGAACTAAGGGGTGAGGAAAGAGTGCTCCGCCGGATAGCGAAATTGCGAATTTACCGGCAGTTTAGAAGTCAGTGATTGCCACCACGGCCAGCCGCTAGTTTGCGCAGCCGTGTCTGGAAGAGGCGAGGCAGAGCTGCCGCCCAGCCAAGGGGAGCGAACAGCGCTGCGCCAGGCGGGCGCCCTGAGCCACCGGCGCCTTCGCCCGGCCTCCCGGCAGCCCCCACACTCACCTCCGGCCTCCGCCGCCGCCTCCTCCTCCGCCGCCGCCGCGCCCCGCGCCAGGAGGGCGACCTGGACCAGCCCCAGCAGCAGCAGCAGCAGCCATAACCCCCTCGGCCTCATCCCGGGACTCGGTCCGGCCCGATCCGCTCCGGGACCCCGCACCCTCTGATCGATCGATCGATCGATCGATTGATTGATTGATTGGCTGCCGCGCCCCCTGATTGGCTGCCGCCGCCGCCGCCGCTCCCGGAAGCTCCTCTCCCGCTCCGGGCCGCGCGCACTCGCCGCGGCGGGAGAGCGCCGCGACCGACCGGAGCAGCGCAGCCCGCGCGCCTCCCACCCTGAGCGCAGCCGGACGCCTGCACTGAGGTGCCTCTCCGCCATTGGCTGACGGGGCGGGGGGGGGGGCGGGCGCCCACCAACCGCCGGCCGCCACGCACGTCAGGCGCAGGGGGTGGGACTCCCGCCCCCAAGGGCGAGAAGCCACATCGCCCTTCGCGATTGGCGGGCTGCCGCCAGGGGGCGGGCTCGGGGGCGGGGAGGGGCCGGGCCAGCGGTTGGTGGCAGCCTGTAAGGTGTGACGGCCCGCGCGCTGGGCGGGGTTTGCCCCGCCACGCCGTGCGTGGGCGGTGGGGTTCGCGTTCCCTGGTGTACCCGCCGCCGGCGCTGGCGGTGGGGAGCTCCCTGGAGCTGCCCCACGTTGTCTGAGTAACCTACTGCCGTTTACCTGAAGTGCCTGACGGTGCGTGGGGAGCTCCCCGAGGGCTCAGGGGGGCTGGGCGCAGCAAGCCCCTCTGTCACGCCGCAGGCCTTCGGGAGATTCAGAGTGCCTGCAGCAGCCTGTCTGAATGTCTTATGCCTAATTTTTATATTTCCAGAAAGCTGTGGTGAAATCAGAGTCACTTAGCTAGGTTGTAAGAGAGCAGCAATTTGCCGAGTCAGGTTTTTCCAAGTGTATTGGCCTCCCATTTGCCGACAGACTCAAAAACATGAACAGACCTTGGGACAGTTGGTCCTTTCCACTTCCTGACACGGCTATGGTACTTCTATTTTTGGGGAATACTTGAATTTATTTCGTTTGCTTACTGATGATGAATGTGATAAATAACAAGAATTTTGCTTTCGCTAAAAGTAATTAAACACTTTTATTGAGTTAGGCTAAAGCTATTACTAGTACAACGATCCAAATTTTAAGAAAAGTAAAAGAATTTACTACTGGGCGAATTGATCTGAGGAAACACTAACCTAACAGCCCCCCCCTTCCTTGGGATGCTCACCAGATGGTCCCTATCAAAGGATGGTAACTCCTTTGCAATGGGATGAGAAAGAACAGGATGGGCCATCCCTGGTATCCCTTGTCCTTGAGGTAAGAGGGGAACTAAAACCACTGAGCCGGAAAGACAAAAGAGCTGCAAATTGGCCCAGACTTGAAGGACAAGGTGTACGTGACCACAGGGCTGAGTTTGTGCAGAAGGGAGGGTCAGCTAGTGAACACCGTGAAGACTACGAGCCTTCATCTGCAGACCCCTGCCCACGACCTCCAGGGAGCACTGTGCAGGCGTGACGGGAGGGATTTGGGGTGGGGGGATATGTTAATGACTTCTCAGAACTAATTGTAATATTCCCTCCCTATCCTTGGAGTAGTGATGCATATGTATTAGGGTAGATGAATATGTAATGTTTTATACAATAAAAGGGAGCCCCTTTGGCTCCAGAGCGTGCGCCATCGTGCCCAGAGCTGTATTCTTTGCTCCACTGACTTTGTCCCCAATCAAACCTTTTTTTTTTATATATACATGGGCTTGTTTCTCACAGTGACTGTGGAGACAGACACCCGCATAATTTCTAGCCATGACTACTCAAATGCTGATCTGCTGAACATCTTAAGATCTAACAAGACAATGCTAAAAACTGGGCTTTTGGTGCTCACATTGCCAGTTTGGCCACATACTTGGGCAAATTACAGATGTCCATAGGTTCACGAGGCAATTGTTTCGGTTTTTACAAAATTTCTGACCCTTGAGTAGATAGTTTGTAAGCATAAAACACTGTTAAATTCAGTGCCCGGTAGTCATACTCTAAGGCGTTAACAGTAGCTTGTGATATGCAAATGTATTCAAGACCTTGAAGTGCAAGCTGAAAATGTGAAAACCATGATTTTAGGGGACCGAGAAGACACTGTGTTGCTCTGAAAGACTGTTGATGGATCTAGGTTGCCATTTGGCATTTGTCAGTGGTCTGTAACAAGTAGGTTGGAAAAAGGCATTAAAAACCTGCCTTGTTCAACACTGCTAATTTACAAATCAGTGAAACGTTTTTATTAGACTCTGTACACTGTTCTGTTAACCCTTCACTGGGATGTTGTGTTGGTGTGTGAAATATCTACTGCCTTCCTCATCAGAATTTATAAGATAAATAGTGGCTATTGTAGTCCATTTTATTCTCATTTAGTTTGGAGATTATCCACTGTATAGTGACCTGCCAAGGCAGAGGAGCTCTGCCAGGCCCAGTACTTCATGAATGACATTGTCTAGGCAGTTGGAAAACATGTTAGAAAAGCTTGCAGAAAAAATAGGCATGTAAAATGGGGAAGTAGTATGATTATTGCTTCCATCTGTTAGAATGTGGAATACAGGAGTACAGGACTTTTCTTTTGTGCGCTAAATTTTATGGTTACTGTGTTTCACGTCGATACAAGTTAACCAAGTTGAAAAATGAGGTCAGTGGATTTTAAAGGCAGTCAAAGGTGTCAAGCACCAACATCCAGCTGCACAGTGAAAAGGAAGGGCAAATAGTACAAATACAGGTAGGTGGTTTTTTTGTTGTTTTTGGTTGGTTGGTTTGTTTGTTTGTGTGTTTGTTTGTTTGTTTGTTGTTAATTTGTTTGAACTGCAGGAGGAAAGCCTGCAAGACAAAACCCCTGTAATCCCAGTTCAACCAAGGACAGCCTGATCATATGACTTGAGAGATTTGCTAAATCGTGTGTTAATTGTGTGGGTACTTACAGTATTGGTAGCCCAGATCTTAGGCATGTCCTGCTAGACAAACAGGGCCTTGGCAGAGGGTCATAGGATCATAGTCTGGTCTGTCTTCTTAGTTTGGGGTACCACAGGATAACATAGCAAGTCATAAATAGCACACCAAACAGAAGTGTAAGTTATCATAGACCAGCTGGAGTCTAAGCTCAGTGCAATTATGAAATACAGTGGTCACTGGAAAGAGTCTGCTAGCTGTGCAGCTTTTCCAAGAGATTGCTTCCTGCTCTCTAAAGGCTTGCTTACTTGTGAGGATGACTATATGAAGCTGAAAATCCTCTGAACTAAGTACAACTGGTAAGAACAGTGCTGCCTTTTGCCAAGTACACATTCTTTACATGAACTGGTAACAGGAAACCCCTTGTCTTTACCATGAGGGTAAAGGTGAAACAGAGCCCCGAACAGATAACTAAGTATAGGATCATCTGTAGGTTAGATGCATGGAAAAGTGAATGGCACAGGTCCCTTGCAGCATTTCTGATGTGAGAAACTGGCCATACTTCAAGTCACTTCTGCCTCATATGTACTAGAGAGCAAAAGACATTTCCATCTGATAACATCTGCTATGCTGCAGAAGAATCCAGATGTTGGCAGGCTTTGGTTATTTGAAAATGGATTACATTTTGTGCATACTATATTTTCATATTTGTGTAAGCTATTAGTATCACCATTGGCAGACTTGCATCCTCAGGAACAAGTGGACAATCATACTCCTTAAATATGCTTTTCCTGTGGAATGATCGGCAAGTGTCTTTCCCGCTGGTTAAAGCTGTCAATGGCTACCATAAAGTCTTCACAGGTTGCACCTGTGTTTCCCAGCAACGTTAAGTGGTGGACTGTGGAAACACCTCTTTGTACCATACTGTAATTTTCTCCTTCCAAAGGTGTCCTAGATGCTAGTCATCTTCTGTACATCATTCTGCAAATTCTGTGGGGTACAGTCATTGACCTTAAGAGGCATATTTAGCAGTAAATGTCAAAGAAGAAAAAGCCAATGTTCTCTCACAAAAATAATGAAAATTGCAAGGTATGCTAGACTAAGATGCATTAGTTTAACTTCTGCTATTAAATTATATTACAGTCTTAAAAGGAGATTTGAACCTACTTGGCCTTTCACAGCCTGACGATATTGAGTGGCTTCTTGTAAGGATACTGAGCAAATATAATGGTCTCACATATGTGTTAGCTGCTTTAACTTATTGTAATCCTTAATATCACAGAGCTATACTGACTAGATGCTGGCTGATACTGTCTGAACAGAGGCACAACAGATTAATTTATTATTTTTAAATACGCATTTTGTGTCTGAGTGCTGTACTAAGTTCCCAATGGTGCTTAAAGGATTGGAAATTAATTTTAATAGGAAGTGTGCAGCCACAGCACCATGCCGGTTAGTTAACGAAGGTGTTGGACCGTGTTGCACAGCATTTTCAATAGGACTGTGTGACAGACTGCTTTGTCTTTGTGTGATTTTCTTTGAGTAGAGTATTTGTTCCATGCAACATGAGCTGATGGCACTCTTGATGCCACCCACTGACCAGATAAAATATGGCCAAAATGCTGCTAATACACACTTGACATTGCAGCACATGCACAGTTCTGAATACCTTTTGGGGAATGCTCTCAAAACTTGTTTTCTAAAAAACCTGTTCAGTTGCGAAACATCTCTTTTATGTGATCTGCCAGTTTTAAACTGGCACAGTGTCATGAAGGTTTTCTGTATTATTTTTGTGGTAGTTTTCTTGTGAACCTCAGTTATATTTTTTGCATAATAGCTAAACTTTTACAGCAAATGCTGCTGAATTGTCTTGCACATAATCTTCACATAAATCACTTCAGTGACTCTCAGAACAATGCTTAAAATATCCATCCTGTTTTGCATTTCATCTAAATCTAGAAACAATTTAGAGAGCAAGAGAAAACACTTGTAGAAGTTTTAATTTTTTGGTCACCGGTTGATTCATCCATTATGATGCTTATTTTAAAATACCTTTCAATAATCTTCAGCCATCATTGTAGAAACATGATAAAAAGTTGGATGTGAAAGTTTTCCACTTCAATACTACTAAATTCTGACAAATTAATGAAGTATGATACTCACAGTAATATAAATACTACTAATTCCTGTATTCGTATATTGCACTCTTTGTTTTGCTGCAATGATTTTGAGTGCCTGTCTGGATGACTTCTCTCCAGGTTTTCTTATGAAATTACCTTCTTTTTTTTTTTTTTTTTTTTGTTGTTTCCTTTTGGCTTTTTTTTTTGACTTTTTTTTTGTTGTTGTTGTTTAGGGACTTTCTGCTTAATTCTTGGATCTCTGTGCCATGTTAAGTAAGTTCAT